CCGGACAGGTTCCTGCTGAACCCGGCTGCTCTCTCCAAAGATCACATGGTCCAGTTTCGCTTCTTGGGTATCCTGATGGCGGTGGCCATCCGCACGAAGAAACCTCTAGACCTGCATCTTGCGCCGTGGGTGTGGAAGCAGCTCTGCTCCATGCCACTGGGAGAGCCCGACCTAGAGGAGGTGGACCTCCTCACCTTCCGCACCTTACAAGGCATTCTGCACTTGGAAAACAGCGGCATCACAGAGGAGAATTTCCATGTGGTGAGATGTCTCAATCTGTGGATCAGTTGTTCCTTCCGTTTTCAACTGCCAATCCAAAAAAGAAAAGTGTGACTTACCTAACGCACACACACAGACAAAAAAAACAGTTTTAGTCTCGGACTAAAAATAAACGAAATGCTGAGCAGAAGGAACATTTAAAAAAAAATCAAAGTTGTCATCTCAACCTCAAATAACTTTCTCACTTGGTTTAATGAATGTTACGGTGTATCTTTGTGAAGATGATTCCACTGGATTCGTTCGTGGCCCACAGTGCAGACGGAAGGCTGGTGCCGGTGGTTCCCGGAGGCCAAAACATTTCCCTTAACTTTTCCAACCGCACGGAGTATGTGGAGAGAGCGTTGCAGTACAGACTTCATGAAATGGACTCTCAGGTTTGAAGCAAAGACGGTAGTAGCGATGCGGCTTTGGTTACTTCCCCAATCGGCGTTCACCAGCGGATATCATTTGTGCAGGTGGCATCGGTCAGAGAGGGCATGTCGGCCATCATCCCCGTTCCGCTCCTCTCACTGCTGACCGCCCAGCAGCTGGAGCAGCTTGTGTGTGGCTTGCCCGAGGTGTCGGTGGAGACGCTGAAGAAGCTGGTGCGCTACCGTGACATCGCGGAGAGCCACCAGCTAGTGGCCTGGTTCTGGCAGAGCTTGGAGGAGTTTACCAACGAGGAGCGCGTGCTCTTCCTTCGCTTCGTCTCCGGCAGGTCCCGGCTGCCGTCCAACCCGGCCGACATGACGCAGAAGTTCCAGATCATCAAGGTGGACCGGGTGAGTTTGGGCTGAAAGATGCCTGATGCCCCAAAAACGGATAAAAAAATACTTTGTACTTTTCAGACTTTTGACCAGTCAAAAAAAA